TGTACGCTTTAATCCCACTTCAAAACAGGCAGTTTTGACATTCTTAAGGGACTCAAATCATGCGCCTTGACTTTGAGGAATCAAAAGAAACCTAAAGGGGAAAAATCAGGGCTGCAGGGTGTATGAGGTAAGGTTTCCCAATAAAACATGAGCTGGTGTATTGTAATGAAAGACAAAAAATACTTCATCGAAATTTCCCTGATATTTTTCTTACTAGTGCACCTTTTATTTTTTTAAACTTCTTCCTGATAAACACCTATGATCATCCTGTGTCCTTTGAGAAAATATACCAAGATTATTGTTGCTGTTGTTAAGTGCCGTCCAGTCAGTTCCAAACCATAGTAACCCTGTATAGGGTTTCTGAGGAACAGCTGGTGAGCTTGAACCACCAACCTTGCTGTTCAAATGGCTTTGTAGTCTGACACATTAACCCACAGCACCACCAATACCAAGATTACCTACCCCAAAATCAGTCCCATAACCTTTTCAAGTGATCTCTCTGTCTTGAATTTAACTGGCCCAACAGATCCTTTCAGAAGCCACAAGTGTGATTAATTTTTTTTCTAATTGAAGGCCTAACAAGACTAATCCACTGATTATAGAGACATGTTTAAACATATTTTGCTTGAGATGAGCCTATGGGTGTATGGAAACCTAGCAGCAATAGTTTCTTCTTTACTCTTGTAAATCCTAGTATGGTGCTGTTGGATAAGCACTGGACTGCTAACCACAAGGTTGGTGATTTAAACCTACCAGCCCTTTTTGGAAACCTGTACTTCTTCCAACACAAATCTATTTGTTCTTCCAGAAGTCCATGGTACTTTTAATATTCTTCTCCAACACCATAACTCAATGCATCAATGAATACGGAAGACCTATAGAGAAATTGCTTTAAATGGGATTTTAGATCTTTGTGACTATAGGGAATAATGTGTTTGTTTGTTTGTTTTTATTTGAATCAGAGGGCTTCTTGTTATTAATCTTTGGAACTAAGTTTGTTACTGTTATCTCTGATAACACTTTACTTTCCAGACTTGTGACAAAAGCTTAATGAATTTCTTACTTTTTATTAATATTGTGACAGATATTATCATGTCAGACCTGTAGGCTATGTTCAGAATTTTATAAATGAGATTTAGCTAAAGTAAGAGAGCAATTCTATTTTTTCATACAATAAATGCTATGTGCTGTGGGAGAACACGTGAAGTCAGCCCCCAATTCTGCCATTTATCAGCTATATATAGCCTTAGATGAGTCATTCAACTTTTCTAAGCTTTGCTGGAAAAAAATTGGAGATCATGATTGTAAAGCATCTAGTGTGGTTCCTGACAAATTCTAGATGTTTAATAAGTAATAACAAATACTATTTTCCATTGCAAAAAAAAAAAAAGAGAGAGAGAGAGAGAGAGACCTCAATAACGTCTTCCTTATCCATTGTCCAACTTTCACATGCATATAAGGCTACTGAAAATACATGGCTTTGGTCAGGCACACCTTTATCTTCAAACTAATATCTTTGTTCTTGAACACTTTACTTGTACAGCAGATTTTCCCAGTACAATACATTGTTTGATTTCTTGACTGCTGCTGACATGAGTGTTGATTGCCGATTCAAGCAAAATGAAGTCTTTGATAATTTCAATCTTTTCTTCATTTATCGTGAGATTATTTATTGGTCCAGTTGTGAGGATTTTTGTTTCTTTACATTGAGGTGCAATCCATATTGAAGACTCTGGCCTTTAATATTAATCAGTAAGTATTTTAAGTCCTCTTGGCTTTTAGCAAGCAAGGTTGTATCTTCTGCATATCATAGGCTGTTAACGAGTCTTCTTCCAATCCTGATATCACATTCTTCTTCATATAATCCAGCTTCTCAAATTATTTTTTCAGCATACCTATGGTGAAAGAATACTCAGGAGCACACCTTTTTGATTTTAAAACATTCAATATTCCCGTGTTCTGCTTGAAAGATTGTCTGTTGGTCAATGTATAGATTCCTTATGAGCACAATCAAGTGTTCTGGAATAGCCATTATTTGCAATGTTATCCATAGCTTGTCATGATCCACACAGTCAAAAGCCTTTGCATAGTCAACAAAGCACAAGTAAACATCTTTCTAGTATTCTCTACTTTCAGTCAAGATCCATCTGACATCAGCAATGATCTACCTAGTTTCATATCTTTTTCTGAAACTGGCTTGAGTTTCTGGCAGTTCCCTGTCGATGTACTGTTGCAGCTATTTTTGAATTATCTTAAACCAAATGTAATTCACATGTGATAGTAATGATATTGCTCAGTGATATTTACTTTATATTGGCCTACCTCTCTATAGAATGGGCACAAATATCAATCTCTTCCAATCAGTTGGCCAGGTAGCTGTCTTCCAAATTTCTTGGAATAGATGAGTGAGTGCCTCCAGTGCTGCATCAGTGTATTGGAAGATTTCAATTTGTATTCCATAGATTCCTGGAGACTTGTTTGCTTGCCAAAGCCTTCAGGGTAGTTTGGACTTCTTTTTCAGTATTACCGATTCTTGGTCATATGCTGCCTCTTGAAGAGGTTAAACATCAACCATTTCTTTTTGGTACAGTGACTCTTTGTATTCCTCCCATCTTCTTTTGATTCTTCCTGTATCGTTCAGTATTTTGCCCATAAAATCCCTCAATATTTCAAGTCAAGTCTTGATTTTTTTTCTTCAGTTCTTTCTGCTTATGAAATGCTGAGCATTCTCTTCCCTTTTGGCTTTCTAACTCCAGCTCTTTACACATTTTAATATAACACTTGACTTTGAATTGTAGAGTAGCTCTTTGAAATTTTCTGTTCAGCTCTTTTACTTCCTCCTTTCTATGCTAGAGAGCTAACATTTCTACTCTTTGGCATTTGTATGCTGAAGAGCTAGTTTCAGAGTCTTTCTGACATCTAATTTTTTTTTATTTCTTTCTTATCTTTTCAATGACTTTTTGCTTTCTTCCTGTATGATGTTCTTGATATCATCCCGCAGCTCTTCTGGTCTTCAGTCAGTAGTGTCTAATGCATCAAATCTGTTTTTGAGATGCATTCAACAACAACAACAATATTAAAGGACATTTTTGTCAATTATGAATACAACGTCTATAAACAGCCATAGGAAGATTTTTGCGTGGACATATATTTTTATCTCATTTGGGAAAACACCTTGTGTGATTCCTGGATCATGTAATGAGACTATGTTTAGCTTTAAAAACAAACTACCAAACTATCTTCCAATGTGATCGTACCATTTTATATTGCCACCGGAAATGAATGAGAATTCCTGCAGCTCCACATCCTTGCCAGCATTTGCTGTTGTCAGTGTTTTGGATTTTAGCCAAGTAAATAAGACAAATTATTTTTAAAAATGGGAACAAAAGTCACATGAAGTATATGTTTTATTTTTAATGTTAGATATTATCTTTATTTGTAGAAAATAATGATATACATGCATTTTAAAAGACAAAGTTTTATAGGTAGAATCAATAATCAGTTACTTAGAAGTAATTTATATAGAAAAGGGAATCATACAGTATTGAAAATTGTAAACAATAGATTTTTCATTTCTGTAATTATACAAATTGCTATTATACTCTGCTTGAACTAAAACTGAAGAGCATCATGTGAGCAACTGTCTCATGAGAGGATATTTAACACCTGTAATTCTTAACCAACAAAAATAAATTCAGGGGGCCCAGACCTTCCCAAGCCCTGTTGGTACTCAAGGAAAGAATGACTTTTAGATTTCTTCTTGGGTTTACATTTCAGGCTTTGTTATCTCACTGGTGGAAAATATTTTTAAGTATTCTGGAAAGTTTCCAGAATCATCCTTAACCTCAGTGGAAAAGACTTAAGCTGCCCAGTTTTAGTGTGTCTAAAACAATGGAGTTCTAAAAATGAAAATGTTTCTGTAGATAGGGTTTGGTTATATAGAAAGACTAAAGTGGATCTGAGTCGATATCAGATTCAAGAGATTTCTTTTCACCAGGCATTTATCAGTCTTACAAGGGGATTTCAAGGTGAAAGTACAATCCTTATGCAGCAGTTGTCTACAGCCTGGTGGAAGAAAGGTCTCATATAATCCTGACTCATCCAGGGTAAAAAGGGGAGTAGCACAAAAGACACTGTGTGCAATAAAGTTTTGCAGGAGAGAAATATCACATCAGAGAAACTTCCTCACCAGGCAGCCTTGAAGTACAAGGAGGATTTCAGCATATGAAGATGGAAATGGATTTCTAGGCCAAAGGGAAGAACACGAGGAAAAACCCAGAGAAGAGAAAATGCAAAGTAGTGCAGGGAACATGGAGAAGTCTAGCTGAGATAGGACTTCATAGAACCATCTTCTAGGGAGAAGCTCTGCTATGGGGAAGACATAACCCCTAATGAAGGCAAATTCAGAGGCCACTGAGGGAACTGGGCAAGAGATTCTGACCAATTCCAAGGAGTCCATGTACTCTTAAAAAAGACAGAGTCTATTGGAAAGGTCCAAGGCCCTGGGTTTGACTTCCAACCCTGGCTCTTAATACCTATGTGGTCTTTGGCATTTGCTAACACTCTGAGCTATAGCTATAAAAGGAAAAGAATCATATGTGCCCTGCCTACCTCATTGGCTTGGCATGGATAACAAAAGAGACAATGAGCACAAACCAACAGTGATGAATATTTTCCTTGGTCAGTTACTTGTCATACAGAGGAAGCCCTAGTAAATATTAGTATCCTCTTATTGCCACTATATAATAAAATCCTTGAGACCAAGGACCATGTCTTCTTTAAGATTGAAAACATAGTAGATGATTTTTTTTTTTTTAAAGGTGTTTGATAAATGAATGAGTAAATGAATGAATAATGTCCAGCTCCCTCCAACTCAATAATAAAATCAGTCTCCTACCTACGTTGAAAACCTGCTAACTGTCCTGTGACTGACTTTGGGGTTGTTTGGGTTGGTGGGTTGGTGGGTTGGTGGGTTGGTGGAGGCTCTGTGGGAATGATGATCAGTTGGTGTCATGGTAGAGAAGGAAGCCTGTGAAAGTGGAGTCATTGACATTATCTGCGTAGAGCCCATTATGCTCTCCATCCCCGTACACCTGGAGCCAGACTTGGTCACCCACCTCCAGATGCAGGAGCACAGAGCCAGAGGCCTGGTCTACATTCTTGTCCTGGTACTGATCATAAGTGAAGAGCACAGCCTTGTCCTTCTTGAAGAGGCTGACCTTCACATCTTTCATGTATACTGTGATATGGTAGGAGAAGTAGTACAGCCCAGGAATGCTGCAGTGGAATTTGCCAGTGGAGCCATCATAGTGGTTTTGCTGATTGTAGAAGATCTTGGTAAAAAGAATGGGAACACTGGGAACGATGACTCGGGTGTCCAAGCCCACACTAAATGCTGAGCGGTATACATAGGCACCTTCTCCAGGTTCTCCTTTTCTGCCTGGGGTTCCTGGAAAGCCTCTGGGACCTTCATCCCCAGTCACTCCAGTCTCACCAGCATCACCCTTAGGACCAATGAGACCTAGAGAGAAGAAGACTTCAGTGACCACAAGGAACAGAACTCCAGTCTAGGCTGACTCCAGCCTAAAGCACTATCCCTGTGACCTCTACCTGCAATATGCATGTCTTACAGAGCAAGAGACCAATAAAAGCTTGCAACGAGGGAGGAGTATCAACTCCTCATTGAATAACCCAGGAGGCTCTCATAAATTCATTCCTAACCTTATCTTCTATATGTCTCTATAAGGGACTCTCCACTCTTCCTGTCCTTCATGTATTGGCTCAAGCAATCATAATTTTGCTCTTCTATTTCCTCTTTCTGGGATGTGTTCTATCCTTTATTTTGCCTAGCTCAAACCTTGCTTCTTCCTTGAAGCCTTCATCATTAATCCAAAGTCAGAATTAAGTTCACTTTCTCTTGGTTCCATACTTTGGGAATTTGTTTACATTCAGATTGACATTGCCTGAACATTCTTATAGCAATCTCTTGTACATTAGACTTATCTCTTAACTAGATCAAAAGTTTTCCAAGGGCAGGACTGTATCTTGTAGGAGCTATACAGTAAATGCAATTCAATTCTATGGGATGAAATAAGAATTAAGTGGAAAGGAAGAGGAATGGGAATATGAGCAGATGGGCAATAGCGGTATTAGTGGAGATTGGAAAGGGGTAGGCAAGGAAATGAGGATAGGAAAGAGCCAGACAGTACTTATTTATAGGGGTGCCACCAAGTCTCACCACTAGAGGACTGTTATGGATTGACTTGTGTATCCTCTTGAATAATGTGTTGTATCCCTGTTCTTGTAATCACATTTGGAAATGAGTTGTCTTTTTTTGTTGTTAATAAGATTAGTGTAGGGCATGTTCTGAGTCAATATCTTTTGAGATAATAAACAGATTAAACAAGCAAGCAAGCAGATGAGAAGATGTTCTGGTGGAGCAGTGGGTTAAACATTAAGCTGCTAACAAAAAAGTTGGCAGTGTGAACCCACCAGACTCTCTGCAGAAGAAAGATGAGGCCGTCTGCTTCCATGAAGATTTACATCCTCATAAACTCTATGGAGAAGTCCTACTTTATCCTATAGGGTTATTATGAGTTGGAATCAACTCAATGGAGTGGGTGCAGCAAAGGAAAGATAAGGTAAGATAGATGCCAAGACACATGAACATCTCCAAGGAACCAAGAAGCAGAAGCTGAAGAGATAAGGACCTTCCTCCAGAGCTGATGAGAAAGAATACTTCCACTAGGGTCAGTGCTCTGAATTCTGATTTCTAGTCTCCCAAACAGTGAGAAAATAAACAATAAACCAATCTGGAACCCACTTTAGGTTGTTTACGGATCATATGAAATAGCTTTGCTTCTTTCCTGTGTCTAGGCCTTAGTAGAAAACAATGTCCACATTCAGTTCTGAAAGCCCACCTCTACCCAGGAGCCGGGTCTGTTATAGAGGGGACCAAGACCTTGTCCTTACCTGGATCTCCTTTCTCGCCCTTCTCTCCAGGCGTGCCATCTCTACCATCACGGCCTGGAGTCCCATTGTGGCCAGGATGCCCTGGGATGCCTGCCATCCACCCTGGACAGCCATCCTTGGGTGGGGAAAGTAGAACCCCAGGTCCTTCAGTAGAGGTGTCACTATTGGGTAGAACTAGCAGCAGCAGAACAGCTTGCAGCAACAGCATCGTGAGTGCTGGAATTGACATCTATAGGGTCAGTCAAGAAGGCAGACAAGAGGCAGAGCTCCCACAACACACCAGTCAAGAGCTAAGCAGAACTCCATCCATTCAGCAGAGTCCTTGTCTAAGAACTGCTCTCTCAATAGTCAGCTCTTCTAGGAAGACTTCCCTGATATTTTAACCCATCTTGATCTCTTTCTGTCCTGACCTTTGCAATCTTCAGTATGATTCCCTATGCATCCTTTCCCCTCCTCAGCAGAACTGTAAGTTCAACAAGGTCAGGGATGACACTTCCAATTTTTCCGCATCATGTATGAACACAGGATCAGCCATGGGGAAAGTGCCTGGAGTCTACTTACCAAGAACCCAACCCTTGATTTTCCCAGGAATGAGACCCAGATTGCTCCATTTAACTCTAAACAACCTCTCTATGATTCTCCCCCTTTTCTTTTTCTCTTTCTCTATTTTCTCATCTCCTGATCTTTTTTTTCTTTCCTTCCCATTCTCCTTCTTCCTCTCTCCTTCTCCTGGGTCACATGTTTGACCATTTGGCAACATATTTTACACACACACACAAACACACACACATTGACTGTAACAGACAACCAGAGGCATATTGCTTCATAACAACATCCACTGATCCTTTACCTGGACCACCCTCCTTATCTGCTTTGCCCCACTCAGCCTTCAGGGCAGTGTTTGGATGTTGCCTCTTTCAAGAAACTCTCTCTACCCTCCAACTACTATCCTTCATCAATGCCATGAATTGATTGTTCCTACTTGTTTTCCAAGTGTTCTCAATTATAGTACTTCTTGTACTCTACTGTCATTTCCAATTTGCTTGCTCTTCTCCCCAACCAAACTAAAGAGCACCAAGGGACAATGCCTAACATACTACCATCACATTACCAGCGCAAGCTGTCATCAAGTTGATTCTTGTCTATGTGTCAGAATGCATGTGTGTCAGAGTAGAACTGTGCTTCACAGGGTTTTCAATGTCTGATTTTTTTTTATACATATTATGAAAATAAGCATTTGTTTATTGCAAACAAATTTCAGAAAAAAAACATGCCTGTTAAAACATGGTTATTTTTTTACAAGATGTCAGTGAGAAAAAGTTTGATGAAGAAGCAAGAATATCAGTTACTAAGTAATTTTATAACCATCTCTTCAATTATATACTGGTTATCTTGAAAAAATATAATGGTAGCTGTGAGGACTTCAAACATACTTATGGGTTTATGCCATAATTATCTTTCACGTTCTATTGACTTATTTCCAATTTTAAAAGTATAGGCCAAAGGGTCATATTTTATGCTGTTAAAACAAATACATAGCCTAGAAAAATACTTCTCTTAAAGTAGGCTATGGAATCTTCCTTCCTGATTCTATGCTAATATTTTACCTTTTTGTTGTTGTTAGAAGCTTTGATTATCAACTCTTTATACCCTCAGGGCCAAAATCCCCTTAAAATTTTTCTAAACAGAAGAAACCCACACAAAATTTTTTTGCCACATTGCATCTTTGGCCCTTTCTTAAAATGGCTATAGGTTCAGTTTAATTAATACTGAATTATTTTAATGTGCAAAAATCCAACTCTGGTTTTTTTAAGCAAATAAAAGGAACAAAACCTTGGCACCATTCCAATAATCAAATGCCAATAAAAATGGCAGCAGTATAAAGATATAACCAAATCTCAGATATAGCAGATTTGTAATTAGAATATCATGCAATGATTTGTTTTTAGCAAGAACAAGGAGATTAATAACAGGCAAAAGGAGGACACCAAATACTGCATTATATTGCATACTAAGCTAAGTTGTTGTTGTTGTTAAGTGCCATCGAGTCGGTTCCGACCCATAGCGACCTAGTACAGTGTTTCCGAGGGTGTAAATCTTTACGGGAGTAGAAAGCCTCATGGAGCAGCTGGTAGTTTCGAACTGCTGACCTTAAGGTTCGCAGCCCGAATCGTAACCACTACGCTACCAGAGCTCCTAAGTAGTCATATATTAATCTTACAAACTTTCCAATGTTCATAACTACTTGCCTAATTCTTTTAACAAATGCCTATTCAACAAATCTAATTGGAACAAATATATTTCTGCAAATTTACATCACAGAGTACCAGAATAACAGGCGACATTAGCCAAAGATGAAATAAATTCTATTCTTTTTCGTCATCTGTGTGATCAGGTTGCAAAGGACATGTTCTATTAAACTCCAGAGAGCTCTTCATTGCATTTTCTTTCTCTTTGCTTTTCCTAAGCCACTATCCTGCTTCTTCAGGAATCCGGTTCTCTTTTCTGAATCTTTAGAAGACAAACTGAAGAATTCTCCAATCCTTTTTTGCCATTTGGGAGTTGGGCGCACACAAACTGGATTCCCTCCTGCATACTTATTTTCAGCTTTTCGTGATGAAGGAGTCGTGGAGTTAGTGGCAGACGCGGAGGAGCCAAGCACCCTCCTGGAGGCTGGAGAAGCCACAACTTTTCGGTAGGTGCTTGGGACACTGTCTGCTTTAGTACGTACCATGTTGAAACCGGAATAGACACGAGGTTAACATATATGAGATAAAAACAACAAACTGTCTTCCCAACTGAGGTTGTTTCACTGGACAAGAATCAATGGCTGATTTTTTTAAGAAGTGGATCACAAACCTTTCTTCAAAGGAACCTCCAATCTTTCAGTTAGCAATTTAGTCTGTTAACCATTTGTACCACCCAGGAACTGCATGGCACAGAGTAAGGGTTAAATAAATCTTTGTAAAATGGAAAAGAGGAAGAAAAAAAAAAAAGAGCCAGAGGGAAAGAGAAAGAAAGAAAAAAGGAAGAAAGGAAGAGAGAAGGGAGGCAGGAGAGTGGAGTGTGTTTGAAACATGTAGTCTGGAAGCCATGCAAAGTGGTCAAGCTACATAGGTGGCCCAGACTCCCTTGTCTCCTCACTTTCCTCCATATCCACTTCCCAAAAGAGGGCCCTCTGTCATAGGGATGCTGGTCCCTTTCCAGATCTGCCAATGATTGGTTGGATGATTTTAGGCCACCACATCTGATTGCGTAGGTCTTAATCTCCCCCATCTTTCTTTCAGCAGGGAGGTGGGAAAAAGTACCACAGAAAGTGGAATGGATCAAAGGATTTGGGGTCAAAAATATTGCTAAGACTTTCTATGGGGGTTGAGAAGTAGTCAATCCCAAGAATCTCATTCCAAATAAAACACAGTCCATGTGGGTTGTTTTTGTTGTTCTTTTTACTCTAAACTTCTAATAAGTCACTATTTTTCATCAATCTGCCTGACTCTTATAGATTACAGCAAGTCTTCAGTCAGAACTGGGTTTGACGTTAGGGTACAGCTTTTGTGAGGGATTCAGGAAAGACCCTGATTGGTAGCTTTATACTCAAAGATGTGTATGATCACACTCCTATGCCCCATTATCGGGGTGCCCCCTCCATGACACTACCAACTCATCTTTCATTTTCAATATATAAACATATATAACAGTATATGAGTGTGCTAGACTGCAAAGTTGGTTTGAACCACAAGGTCAATTGTTCAAGCTCACCAGCTGCTCCTTGGAAACCCTATACAGGGTCGCTATGGGTTGGAACAAACTAGATGGCACTTAACAACGACATTAGCATAAATAGTAATATAAGCACTTTGGAAGCTAGAAAAATAAACAATCCCCAATTCCAAGAATGTTCCTGCTTATTTTTAAATATAGTAGAAATCGTACTTTACATAAAAATTTTATTTCCCTATTTTTACCTTGAAGTCCTGGTATGCCACTGTAAGATAAGCACTGGACTGCTAACAGAACAGTCAGCGGTTGAAACCCACCAACCACTTCTCAGACATCCTCTATAGGGTTGCTATGAGTCAGAACTGACTCAATGGTACTTTGTTGTTGTTGTTAAGTGCCATCGAGTCAGTTCTGACCCATAGCGACCCTGTACAGGGTTTCCGAGGGTGTAAATCTTTACGGGAGTAGAAAGCCTCATCTTTCTCCCGCGGAGCGGCTGGTAGTTTCGAACCGCTGACCTTAAGATTCGCAGCCCGATTCGTAACCACTACGCTACCAGAGCTTAGCCACAACAAATTTTAATCTTGTCATTTTCTAGTTTTTATAACCACTACTTAAAATGTCTTCAAGTGAATACAGCTGAAATATACTTAATCACTTCCTTTTCTTGGTCTTTTCATTTGTTTCCATTTTTAAATAGTAGTTTAAAATTGGTGACATGATGTGCCAGACTGCAAAGCCATTTGAACTGCAAGGTCGGTGGTTCAAGCTCACCAGCTGCTCCTTGGAAACCCTATATAGGGTCGCTATGGATTGGAATTGATTGGACGGCACTTGACAACAACAACAACATATAAATTGGAGATTATTCCTTTATGACATATTCCCTGAAGTAGCTCCTAGGCCAAAAGTCATGTGTATATCTAAGACTCTTGATATATATAGCCAAATTACAATGTTACACTGTGTTCATGTGCATCAGAGGGCCTATCTTAATGACTATTAGCATTTTTGTATATTATCCTCTAAACATTTTTATTTTTATTAATAATTATTGAAAAAAGAAATAGTCCCTCATTGTTATAATTTGTGTTGTTTGATGACTGGTTATTTGCACATGTAATTTATAAGCTTGCTAATTTCTCTGTTACTGCTGTCACTTTTCATAACTAGGAGCACTTTTTTGTTCAATCGACTTGTGTAAGCTCTTGATGTCAGCACTTCGTCATAAATATTATGACTATCTTTTCTAGTCTAGAGATTATCCTTTGGTTTATCCTAATTTGTGGGTGTACTGAAGTTTCAGTTTGTATATTTAGTCGACCCTGTTGATAATTTTGTCTTTGCATTTAAACAGTCTTTATCCATGCTCTTATTGTTGTTAAGTGCCATCGAGTTGGTTATGACTCATAGCAACCCTGTAGAGGGTTTCCAAGGAATGACTGGTGGATTTGAACCACCAACCTTGTGGTACCAGTCCAGTGCTTATCCAACAGCTCCATACCAGGACTCCTTATCCATGCTAAAGCTTGATAGCTTGGTAAATATTCTCCTTCCTTCTGTCTTTTCTGTGGTATGAGATATTGTAAAATTCACTCTTTATTTCCTAATTTTGTGTGTGTATGTAATCTGTGATTTACAATTCTCAAATGAATTTCCCCTGTTTGCAGACTGGTTTCATAACCACCTCTAACTAATCTTTCCTCTCTCTATTGTTTTGATGTTTCATTTATCAAATGTCATGTTCTGGTGTGATCTTATTATATGTAAAATAGGAATTAAGAATGAAACTGGCAGACAAGAGAAGGAAAATCATAGGGAGGAAAAACCATTAAAAAAATTAAAAAAAAAAAAAAAATCCAACAGTGATAAGACAGATGTGAACAGAGATAGGTGCTGCCCTTAGTTGTCATTAGCCTCCATTCAAGACACACTCTTGTCATCTATGAATACCTTTATCACCCTCTTCTGGATGTGTGTAGAACTCAGAAAGTGTTCTCAAAACTGCTGGAAATAAAAGTGAGAGGTGGCTTAGGCTTGGCTTGTCGCAAGATAAGAAAGAAGCAGTGAATTAAATGAGATGCCAAGCAAAGCCAAGCCCTTTTTTTGTACCTAGGGAGAATGCTTGAGCTAGACTTTTAAGATTTCCTAGATCTTTAACTTTTTTCTACTACTTGTCCCCATTCACCAGTTGTCCCTATGTGTTTCATAATAAAAATCCTGAGAAGACCTCTGAGAGAATCCATGCTTGTATTTCCCAGAGATGAGAAGGGAAGAATCTATGAAGCTACATTCTTTTCCACAGGGACCAGGGAGAGAGACTCCAGGTTATATGAACTTGTGGAGGCAACTAAGGGTGGTGACAAAGATAAAGGGCTATGCAGAGTCAGATGATCTTCAGAGTTCTCTGGTTTTTCCTTCTCTTTTAAAAATCAAGATCCTGTTTTTCCACCCCAAGGGGAAGACATTCTGCTCCCAATACTTCAGAACTATGGAGAGAGTTTCCTACTGACAAAAGTAACCAATCTGGGCTCCATGACAAATACAAAGGGTGCAGGTACTGAAAAAGGAAGGGGCCGTGACTGGCTTACAAGTTTTCAATAGGGAATCTAGCTCCAGAGGATACAGGGAAAGGTAGAATCTCCACTGAATTGTTTCCAACCTGTCTGGATGAGGTTGATAAAAGGTGAGGGGGATAGGATTCCTGTGGTTCAATAGGGAATGATTGCTATTAGATTTGACAGTGAATGTTGGAAAAGTAAATGTAAATGTTTGGTAACAAAAGGAGGGGAGTGGCTGATTTTGCAGTCCAGGAGTGGAGATCTGTGGAACCATCAAGAGAGAAAATCTAAGTTGAGACCCTGTCTGGGGATGCAGTGACACTAGGGATGGAGGCAGAGACAGCAGGAGCGGCTGGGGACTCAGGGAGGGAGAGGGGCTGTGTGCTGGCTATGGGGGCGGGGGGGGGCAGGTGTGTAGATGTGTGGGGTGTATCCTTTGATTGTTTGATGATGATGCATGCAGGGGATGATGATCTTTGCAATGAAACAAAATATGATAGGATGACTGTCAATAAAAACAAAAAAAAAAAAAAAAAGGAAGTGGCCAATGAGCTTATGACCCTGGGAGGTTTCTGAAACTAAGAACAGAATGTGTTTAAAGAAGGCAATCTTCTAACCTAATTCTCAATGGAATGGCAGCCACTGAGAAATTTCAAAGAGGTGCCTATGTTTTGAAAGTACTATTGAATGGAAAGCCAGCAGCTAAGAAAAAATGCAGAGGTGCCTATGTTTAAAAAACATTGTTGGAATAATAAAAGTATTATTCCATAATTGTGTATTTTATTTAGATGAAGCAATGGTTATGCTTCAATTTTGAAAGACCTTTATTTCAAGAGAAAACATCATTAGGTAAAACTAAGGACTGTAATCAAAGACTCAGTCATTCCTATAAAGAAACTTTTTACATGGACCCTGAAGCTTAATCCAAATCCTACTTATCATTATTTGTCTTTGTAGAACACACTTGGGAAGTCTTTACCTCATTTATATCTCATTTAATTCTCACGACCCTGGTAAGAGACAGTACTAAGTAGAATGAAAAGCACTGGCTCTTTCTGAAACACATTTCTGTCTTACCTGTTTGTTGAATACTTAGAAATACAGCTGTATCTGCACATTTCAGAGCTCAATAACTGTTGTTGTTAGGTACTGACACATAGTGACCCTATGAACAACAGAACGAAACACTGCCTGGTCCTGCACAAACCTCACAATTGTTGCTACGCTTGAGCCCACTGCTGCTGCCACTATGCCAATCCATCTCCTTAGGGGGTCTTCCTCTTTTTCTCCAACCCTCCACTTTACCAAGCACAATAAATAGGTGTTAGTGTAGGATCAGCACTGAACTGCAAACCACAAGGTTGGCAGTTCAAACCCACCAACTACTCCTTGGAAACTCTATACAGAGTCACTATGAGTCAGAACTGACTTGATGGCACTTAACAACAACATG